GTATATATATATATATATATATATATTCGTGTGATTGCGTTTACGTATACGTGTATGTGTGTGTGGATGCGTGTGTGTCTGGAGGGTGGCTTTCCTCTTGCGCCCCGAAACTTGTCGAGTGGACCGACTGACTGACTGACTGACTGACTGACTGACTGACTGACTGAGGACCATCCGTCCGTCCGTCCGTCCGTCTGTCCGTCTGTCCGTCCGTCCGCCCGCCCGTCCGTTACTCTTCCGGTCGCTCCCTGTCGCGGCTCTCGCCAGTGACAGGGGGTGGCCTCGAATACGACGGCGACGACGGGGTGCGACTGTTTAGTCGGTGGCGCTGCCGCTCCGCGTTACCGTCCCCTCGGCCCTTTATCCCTTCTCCGCCGCAGCCACCACCTTTGTCACGCTCACGGGATTGTCCTCGTCACTCACTGCGGGCTCGACTAGTCAGCAACACCCCCGGCGTCCCTTCGTTGCGGCTCTTCTATGGATGGAATCGAGGGATGGCGCTGCTGCCGCTGCCACTGCCGCTGCCACTGCTACTGCTACTGCTGCTGCTGCTGCTGCTACTACTGCTGTTGATGATGGTGATGCTCTGGTATGAGGGGTTGCACAGCTACCCCTCAAGAGTGCTCATGTCGGTTCTCGATTCCTGCAGATCACTCGTTGTGGTTGTGCGTACGTGACACGTGCGCGTGACACAGGAGCGAGCATGTATTGCCGTTGTCACTGGCGTAGGACGGTGAATTCTTTACGAACAATATTGAAGTTATTAATCAACATATTCTCTTAACAGATGAAGAATATTTCGAACAAAAAAAAACCGCACATTGATTTTTTGCTAAGAAATAGATCAGATACATCTATTTTTTTATAATCGACTGCGAAAGAAGTCTTCCGCAAACTAAACTAAATTAAACTAAACTAAATTAAATTAACTTGATAAAACCAATATTTAAAAATATATAATTAATTACATTTTTCTATATAAATTTTTAAGTGGAGTTTACATATTTTTTCTCTTTTTACACTAGAATTTTTATTTGAGGCCTCATTATAAAGATGTGTTTCTTAGAAATTACGTAAACAATAATCTTCCTTAATACTCTTACAAAAAAAAATTATTTCTAGATTAACAAAAAATTTATTATAAAAAAATATGCAAAAAAATAGGAGTGTATTTCATGTTATATTTCATGTTATAGAAACATAGTCTGCATATTATTCGTTGTCAAATTAAAAATTAAAACGTACTTGAATTAAAGAAAGAAAAAATCTCCGTATTTTTTACAAATTTCGAATTGACAATATGTGCTATATTGCCATCACTAGCGATATAAACTGTATATCGCAACCGCAATATTTCGCTTTGCCTATATAAACGGTGATTTCGTATTCTTAGTACGTATACACGCGGCACCATACTTTGCGTAAAGTTGAATTTATGTTGGACCACGTATTTGGAGCTCCGTAGACTGGGTCGCCCAGCCTGATTTAAAAAGGAAATTGGAAAATGTAAAATAGGAAGCCGCAGTTACAATACGTTGTATACTCTCCACTACGCTTTCGTTTATTTAGAATAAGAGCGGAAGAAAAGCGGAACTGAAGCTATCCTGCGATTCCATTTGTCATACCTTTCAAATTAATTAAGACAGTCATGTGAAATTTTAAATCTTTTTTAACTTTTCACGCAATCTGTAAAGACAAAATTTTATCTAATTTTATCTAATACAGGCTAAATTTTTAATTTTGACAAATTTACTGATCAATTTACAAATCCGTTTCTCACAAATTCGAAAATAGTCTCTCCATTATTTATCGCCCTTCTATTTCTTTCTCTAAAATACTCTATAATTTACAATTCTATAATTGCGAAGAATATATTTCCAGAATAGGTGAAAACGTGTGTGTTTACACGGTTCAATTGTGCAATGAACTTTCCAGGAATAATCGGATTAATGCGGGATGCGATTTCCGGTAGATCGATAAGGACTCTCGATCTGGTCATCGACCTCTTAAGCTACGCAACACTCTAAGCGTAAGCTATCTGTAAATCTCTTCCTCGCAAACTCCGTTGCTGTTTATCGCCCCACGCCGCTTCCGGCGCAACACATGTACGTACGTACGTACGCACGCACACGCGCATAAATATACCCCGGGACTCCTGCAAAAATCGAAGAGAGAACAGCTGGTCAGGGTGCCACGTTCCCGAGTCTCCTTCCTAATGTGACGAGCGTGTAAACTCTTTTCTTTCCTTTTCCCTCTCCTCCCTCCCTCTCATCTCTCTCAAGAGAGACAAAGAGAACAGAGAAAGAGAGAGAGAGAGAGAGAGAGAGAGAGAGAGAGAGAGAGAGAGAGAGAGAGAGAGAGAGAGAGAGAGAGAGAGAGTACGTACGTACGGTACGGTACGTACGGTACGTACGTACGTACGTACGTACGTACGTACGTACGTACGTACGTACGTACGTACGTACGTACGTACGTACGTACGTCGTACGTCGTCGACGCGCGCGCGCGCGCGCGCGTCGTCGTCGTCGTCGTCGTCGTCGTCGTCGTCGTCGTCGTCGTACGTCGTACCGTCCGTCCGTCCGTCGTACGTACGTACGTACGTACGTACGTACGTACGTACGTACGTACGTACGTACGTACGTACGACGACGACGACGACGTACGTACGTACGTACGTACGGTACGGTACCGGTACCGTACCGGTACCGGTACCGTACCGTACCGGTTACCGGTACCGGTACCGGTACCGGTACCGGTACCGGTACCGGTACCGGTACCGGTACCGGTACCGGTACCGGTACCGGTACCGGTACCGGTACCGGTACCGGTACCGGTACCGGTACCGGTACGGTACGGGTACGGGTACGGGTACGGGTACGGGTACGGGTACGGGTACGGTACGGGTACGGTACGGACGGTACGGTACGGTACGGTACGGTACGGACGGTACGGACGGACGGTACGGTACGGTACGGTACGGTACGGTACGGTACGGTACGGTACGGTACGTACGTACGTACGTACGTACGACGGACGACGGACGACGTACGGTACGTACGGACGGACGGACGGACGGACGGAACGGACGGACGGACGGTACGGTACGGACGAGAGAGAGAGAGAGAGAGAGAGAGAGAGAGAGAGAGAGAGAGAGAGAGAGAGAGAGAGAGAGAGAGAGAGAGAGAGAGAGAGAGAAGAGACACGAAGGGCGAGCGAGGCGCGAGGGAAGGAAACGTAGAATCGCACATGCGCCTGCGTTCGGCATCGACCCGATGTCTAGGCAACACCTGGTAGCGCCCCACGTGCCACGTTAGGGTGGCACCACCGTCACCCCGCGCAGGCCGCGCGCGCGATCCGTGCCCTCTCTCGGTATATCGAATATCCCACTGGCCTTCCTCCCTCTCCTTCTTCTTCATTCCCGACGGGAATGCATCTCGTCTACTGACCCACGCCAACGGAGGAGAGACGAGATAGACGTCTTTCGTCCCTCGCTTCCTGAATTCTGCGCCCGATGCACGCGCCGCGGATGCCCGGCGCCGCGACGAGGGAATTCCTTTTTCGGGGTGGGGCGCGCGGCTGGAATTTCGATACACGAGCTCGCGCGGGGTGGGTCCGTTGCTGCGCAAACGATTCTACGGGGTAGAGAGAAGGGAGAGAGGGGAGGGGGGGGGGGAGAGGAGGAACTCCAGAGTATGCTGTGTAATGCCGATATTACACGCGTCGCGAAACGCGATCCCGCCAAACGCGCCAGCGTGACTATGGAACGGAGCAATTTTTTCCGCATTTCTCGAAAGTCGTCTCTATCGTCGCTGGCTTCCCGTGGGAAAACGGCGAGCTTTTTATGCAACAGCAACGCATACAATAAACGTACAGTACGATAAATGTAATGTTGAATTTGGACTGATTATGACCACTCGTATGTGCACACGACTCGTATATACGTACGAGTATACGAAAGATTTGCTCGAGGGTTGATACGAGAGGAAACTAGTTTAAACGAGAGAATAGGGAGCAAACGAGGCGAAGAATGCGACGCGTTCTTATTTCCTGGAGGATAAAAATACGGCTGCTGCTGTATACGGTTCGTACCGCGATCCATCCTCCTTCTCTCCCTCCTCCGTGAAAATTAGTTCCTCTGCATCCCCACCGCTCAACGTTGCCCCGCCGACACGATTAAATGCGAGGAAACCTCGATATTTGAACTCGATAAAGAGAATTGGGAATTTCTCCCGCGAATAATATTTGCTAATTGGAACTTTCTCGTTGAGAAATAGGATATTACACAGAGTGACCTAGAATCCTCGTTCGTGCTCCACGTGGCGAGGCCTTTCGACTATTTCAATCCCATTTTCCTACTTGAAATCCGCGTATGAAAATATCTCAATTTTGGAGAATATTATTTAATTACTTTAAATTAAATTAAAATTGATTAAGACAAGTGGCGAGTCGGTTTTGATTTATTAATTAAGTTATAAATGAATGCCAAATAGAATAATAAGTATTGCAGGATCAATTATTTCTTTTGTGAATTATCGAAAAAGGTTTTAACTAATAGTAATACCTGAAATCTGAAAATATTTTTATCGAATTTTTATTTAAATTATAATTAA